TACCACATCGCTATCAGTGCCATCGCCAGTACCCACCACCACTATCGCGTTACCGCGCTGTTGCCTCCTCCGTCTTGTCGTCCGATGTCGTCGGCACCTCTGGAGGTTCCAGCGAGAACCAACTTCCCGCGCGCCTCCCCCGTCCCAGACCACCTCCAGCTCCGCGGTCTCCCGTATTTCCTCTCCGCTTCTCATCGTCGTTCCTCTCTTTAATAGCAAGCAGAAACTTACTAGCGCCAACTCCGTTGGCGTATTACGTGTACGTGTATGTACTGTATATATACATACATATATAATACGTGTCGCACTCGGTATAGAACGATGAAGAGGAGGATTAGGGTTGCGAAGCTAACCGACGCGGATATTGCCTTTCGTTACGTCGCCAGAAATAGAGAGTTGCGCATTAGTTACGCCGATTAATCCATTAACTTCCTGCTACTTCTCTGTGCTCTCCTACTCTATCTACATTTATCTTGATTCCACCGTGAACATAAAATTACGTTCTCGGAACGGCCTACCGCACTCTCACGTTGACATTAACATTTCTTCGCGAGATAGACGAGCGTTCGATGTGCGCGCGTTAATCGCGTAATACTATGTTTATTTTTTCACACTACTGTACGTGGCATTGTTGCCTGGTTTTTCTCTTTCAATCTGATTGCGATCGCGATGTCGCGCCCGCCGCTGCTGTAAAATCACAGTTCGGAAGTCGGCTGTCACAATTGTAACGGAACGGTAAAAGCGCACGTGCCGCGGATGGCGAACAAACACGACGATAGCGAGCGGCAGAGATGAGATAATAGATAATAGACACACCGAGAGAGAGAGAGGCCGATTGTTCGCGCAAACGCTTTGAATAGACGCCGCGTGGCAGAAGCTCGTAAACGAGGCTCCTGTGAACTTGCCCTCGATTAAGATTATTATCCTTTTTGCGCATTGCGCCGTTTACCTTGTGGCTATAACAGAGTCCTGTTACTCCGTGCACGCAGTCCATCCATCACATATATACACACACACGTACACACGTCAGAAAGTAAAATATAATTAATCTTTTAATTAAAACTCTTTAATTGCGGCCGCGCGGCGGCGCAAAGAATGTTAGACACAATGAGCGTAATAAAACTTAAACAATCTGTTGACACTCCTCTTTATTGATTAATAATATCATTTTACAAATGGTAATAGAGAAATAACAAATATAGACGGTACGCTGGCATTGTACAATTTATTTGCCGGTGATTTTGAGAGAAAAAAAGAGGGAGAAAGGAATTTCCAACAAATGCGGAATTTTTACGTGCCGCAGGTAAAGAATTAAATTTCCGCTAAAATGGCAGAATCGCGAATAAATTCCTTCGCGATTGGAGCTCCGTGTGCAACTTTTTTTTTTCTCTCGTCAGCATATCTACGGGAGTATCGTGTAACAGTGTGCCAATCTCGACCTTTCTCCCCTCGTCGATTCGCTCTTATCAAACGAGGAACGCTCATTCACGCCTTTCCCTTTAATGAAACGGACGGCGGACCCTTGCCGTCCGTTTCTCCTTGCCTCCCTCCTTCCGCCGCGGAAACGTTTTCCACTTGTTTCCACCGCGGCCGACCGGCCGGACGCGTGCGTGTTCTTCCTCGTTACGTGCGTCCGCACTCACGCACGCACGCACGCGTGTACAGGCGCACGCTGCTCGCGTGGGAGTGCATTCGTGTGTGCAGCGCGCTTACGACACGGCGACGGTTCCGTTGCACGCCGGAACGTGAGGTTAAAGGAACGCCTCGCGCGAACAGGTTCCCTTCCTTTTCCACGACCGCCGACCGCCGAAGGGAGTAGCGAGTTGCATCAGCACGACGACACAGTCGGAGACTGACAATGGACCGCGTTCTCACCGCGCGCGTATGAGCGTTAAACGTGAAGGATCCCCGGGGAACGGTACAAGTGGATTTCAAATTACGAGAATGCGAGGTTGCTGCTAGAAAGCTACTCTGGAATTTATTATTAAACATTTTCTAGCTGGTATTTGGTACTAGAATCCTCTACTTCAAAGTGACAGTGCGAGAGGTGTAACTAACAATGAGATATCAAAAATTGCAATGTATTAAGCTTATCCGATTTTACTGAAAGAGAAAAATCTATAAAGTACAAAAGTTTCACGATTCACCTATAAAATAGCACGTATTTTTGTCATTGCTGAATATAATTGTTCAAATGGAGATAAGACCGGGCACAGAGAGCAGGGGGTTTCTCCGCTTGCAGGATTCTGCCTCGATGGAACGATACTTTATAGAATTTTTCCGAATTTACGCTTCTCGTTACCGACGAACGTGCGCTTTGATAAATCGCTCGCGTTCGCCATTAGTCGTCGTTTCCCGTCCCGATGAAAAATGCGGCTCGTGCGCTAATAAACAATATACGCGAACGTCGAATGCGGCGCGCGGCCGCGCCGCGCCGTTCTAAAATTGTGAACGTTCCCACGAAGCCCGAGTAATTTGTACCGTTCGAGACGCGATCGTTAAACTCTTTCGTGCGGCGATTTAGCAGGTTTCTTGTTGGCAGCGGCGCGGCGAGCCGGTCAGCAGTCGCGGCAAAGGCTTAGACGTTCGCGTAATTCGAATCAATCCGTGGCTATTATTAACTCCACGGGACAATACGGCTGCACGGTTACTCACGGCATTGATGAAATGCTTTACGCGTTCAATACAATCTTTTTTTTAACGGAGGAAGAGCAGGTGGGAAAGGGGAACAGGTATAAGAATTTATGTAGCTTTTTAAAGACTTTATTGCTATCCGGATACAATGTCTAATATATGTATATATAAAATATTAAAAAAATATATATATATATACATATATATTAGTTAAATATATAGGTAATAATCATTTTTATTTAAATAAATAACAATATACAATAAATATACAGTTAATAATAATTTTTTATAATTTTCGCAATACTTTTGTGATACATTATTTATTTCATAAATCACTGTTATTCCTGAGTTTCTACAATATTATAAATATAAAGAATAACAAAGAGCCTTGAAGATGGATCGAGCAATCAAATTAGAGTAAATTAGGTTTCAAAGTACAATAGAATATCCCACGTTGCTATCAACCGCGAAGATTTTGGTGTCGCGAGCTTTTGTAGATCTCGAAGTTGTTGTGCTTCGACTAAGTGAGTTTTCCTCCCGGTCGGATCGGTTGTCAACGAGTCAGGTGCCAGGCAGAGAGGCGAGAGAGCTTAGAGACGGCGCGCCGCGCCGTTCGCGCGCACGCAGTCGGCGTGGCAAAACCACAAGGCACCGCTCGCACAGAGCGCGCGGACGTAGGACAGTGCATTTAGGGTCGATGCCCTCTTCTCCGTGCGCCGTCGATGTTCGGTGCTCTACGTATTTTCTCCTTATCTCCTTCTTTCGCTCTTTCTCCCTACACACTCCGTGTAGGGGCTTTCCGCTGCCGCTATCCTCCGCCTTGTCCCCCGAGCCGGATACTTGTTGGACGGTCCTTAGAGGCTCGCATGCCTCTTCGCGATGATCGAGAGAACGAATGAGCCCCCGCGCGTTTCACTCTTGCCGGGGGGTGGGGGGAGAGGAACGAGAGAGAGAAAAAGAGAAGAGCGCTTATAAGTCCAGGCGGCACGCGCGATTATCCTTCTTATTAAATTAAACGCGGCTAATTCCAAGGGCAGACTGATAAACGACGTAGGTATTTGCTTAATGACATAGAAGCAGGTAATTGCGATCGCCGTATAACAGTTTGTCCGAAGCGTTTCGTCGAGAGCGAGGTAATCTCTGGGAATCGCGCGACGTTGCCCGAGCTTTACTCGGGAGCCAATTACTTTGGCCATTCTGCTTTTCTTCATACGGGGTCTCGGCTCAAATCTCGACCGTTACGTTCGCGAAAATGTTTTTTTTTTCTTCCCGCGCTTTATTTGTCGCGCGAAAAGTCTTTAACGTTGAAGAGGCATTAGAACCTAAGCGTATAGGTAATTGTGTGTATGTGTTGGATCGATTGTAAAGGAATCTCATTTTTTGCCGTCTGCATAAGCACGACCTTGTCCAAGAGCTGTACGCTGTTATTATCCACTTTATTAAATTAAGCGAGAGCGATACAGAGAGAAGATAATGAAAGACGTGACTTGGAATTAATATCCCAACTTTTTAATGCATTTAAGCACTCTCAAAAAGCAATAAATTATCTCACGTGTAATTTAATACAACGTTGAAGTAGCACGCGTTATATATCCCACCGCTTTTTAACCATCGCGCTAATTTTTCAAACCTTTAGTTGTCTTTAAAGCGCACAATACACTTCGAACAAACTTCAAACGAGAAATTTCGGTAATTCGGTGCGATTTTTCTGCGTCCTAAATCACTTGCTAAGATAATAACGTGGATACATTTGTGTTTTTTTTTTATTGTCTTAATTTGGAGGATTTGTTTTTGGTCGTCAAGTGAACTTTATTTGGGGATTTTCCTATTTTTCTAATCTCCAATTCGAGTCCAATCGAAACTCCAGCCTTGAGCTTTTCAATGGAGGACGATGGAAAGAAACTCTAACGGATGGGAGAGAGACGAAGTGTACTCGCGGACGCGCGAGAACGGCGCGCTCCGAGGATCAATGAACGATTGTTCCTTAATACGCGGTGCTCCACAGGTTGCAGAGTCGCGCGTGTATTCTTCGCACGCATTTCTCTCGCTCCGACTTGGATTCTAATCGAGAATGCACTTCGCTCTTGATATCAAATTATCTCCGCTTTCTGCCGGCTGCTACCGTCACCGTCGCCGCCGCCTCCGCCTCCGCCGTTGAGAATCTCTCTCGCGTCCGTAATCGCGTCGAGCGGGTTTCCTTGTTTAACGAGTGGGATTTCGCTCGAACGATTTCAGAGGGATCGCGTTAAACAGCGAGATATAAATCCCTCTTAGCGTTCGCTTCGCTAAGGCACTTCGGTGAATCACACGACTCAACGATTCTCAACCTCGGAATAAAATTGAACCGTGCTTTCTTTTTGTTGCAGGGATCTCGCGCGGGATCTGAGTCTGTCGGATAGCGAGGATGAAGAGAATAAGGTAACGTATACCTCAAGAGATATTCAATATTTTGTTAGGTGCGTGTTATTAAATAAATTTTATTATAGATATTTCATGCTAATTATGAAATTAAGTGAATTATGAATTAATATTTGTTATTAAATTAAACATTAATTGTTTAATATTGTAATGAGAAAATGGGCGCTGTTAACTTCAGAAGCGTAATTTTTGAACTATGGAAGCTGAACGCGATTAGCTGCACTTTCGCCTTCGAGTTTGTTTTTTCCGTTGGCTTCTTGCGATACCGCAGAGCACTTTCGCAAACCGATACGATCGAGTCGCGTTTGACGAAGAACTAAATGGTTGTTCATCGCAGCGAAGAAAAATTCCGTTCCACTTTATTTCACGGCGAAATTACTAATGGTGGTCTTCTTTATTCCCAGGAAATATTGTCGAGGCCGACGAGAGCAAACAGGAGTCCGGATCTCACGGTTGTGTAAGTATCTGACTTTTGTTTGCAGAAATTAACTAGGATCATAAGCAATTAAAGATAAAAAAATACTTATCCTCAATTGTCGAAATTGTTTTTTTTTTCTTATATATTCAGAGACTTAAAAAAGGGAGTTTTGAAATTCTTAAAACGTTTCTTCTATATCTCATGATTTCTTCAAAATCATGCTTTCGGCACGAACATTTAAATAGATATAATATTTTAAATAATTGAGTGCTTATTTCTTTTCACGCGCTTGAAAATGAAAACAGCGCTGTGAAAAATAGTAAAATAATTTTTTTGAAAAATTCCAAACCTTTCTTAAGTGCCTGCACATAAATTTTTTTCGAGTATACACGCAATTTGAGTACATTCGAAATTTCACGGTCTCAAAATTTAAAAATGTGCTAGAGCAATTGGCCAACGAGAGATTTCTACGATTTCCAGCGTTTCGATATCTTTATCGAAAATCACGGTGTCCAATATTGAGCATCGTTTGATCTCGCGTCCTTACAGTCTATCGACGCCGTTGATGACGTCGGCGCCGCCGCCTCTGACACCCATGTCGCCCATGGTCATGTCACCCGTGGGCCCGTTGTCACCCCCGCGGCCGATCAGCCCGCCCAGGTACCCGTCACCGCCCCCGAAGCGGGTGACGCCGAAGCGAGAGCTGTCTCCTCCTCCACCTGTTCTCAATCATCCCCTGCCATCCGCGTGCTCCCCGACGAATCCGGTCGTAGTCGGCCAGCCGTCGAGTCCAGCCGAGGCGCCGCAGAGCTCCGGAAGCGCCAGCTCGAGCTCGGACTCCGGCTCGGATTCCGGCTCGGACAGCAGCGACGACTCCGAGGACGAGGACGACCTGGCGTCGGCGCCACCGCCGTCCAAGGGGCCCACGACGCCGCCCTCGGTCTCGCCGAAGCAGGAGAATTTGGTCGAGGAACCGCCGCCCGCTGTGGAGGAACGTCGCTGGGATCTCAGTTCTTTCTTCAACAAGACGGCGGTACAGCATGGCGAACAGAACTCCGAGTCGAAGCCGGCTCAGGTAAGATTGGACTATCTGCGCGGATTAAAGTGAAGCAGTATTTTGAGAACCAATATATCTGAAAATTTTTCGGGAAGTTTTGAGAAAAAAAGTTTTAAAGCTTTTTAGTATAGTTTATAAAAGTAGATACGTTTCAATTATATAATTATAAGAAGTTATGTCAGGGAATTTTCTTTGAAGAAGGAACTGTATTGTTTTGCAGGATAACGCCAGGCGGGAGAATACGCTCGAGATAAAGACGGAGACCAGCAGGTCGCACAGGGAACAGCCCCGCGATTGGCAGCTCGACGAGGCCTTGAAGAGGACTCACAACATGAGTTCCCTCAGCGACAGCGATCATCACTCCGATCAGGAGAAGGTTCATAAGCTGGTCGAAGATAATCGCGCCCAGACGGAAAAGCCGAAAGTGGCCGATACTAGAAAACGACCCGGGCGACCCAGGAAATCCATCAAGAGCCCGAAACGCAGTCATCGGACATCGGACGAGAGTCTGAAGAACGGCAAACCGCGCAGCCGGACGAGAACAGTCGCCACTTCCAGAAAACGGTCGCCACTCGTCAAGAAGAAGCAACCGAAATCGAAGGAAATGGTGCCCACGAGCGACGACGACAACGACTCGAGATCGCACAGTGATTCCGACAGCGATCGTCGACCTACCAAAGTGTCGGCCGTGGTACCGACGAGAAAAGAAATCGAAAAGAGATCGAGACTGAGCGTGTCGTCCAGCGACGATGAGAGTTCGCCACCGAACAGGAAAAATAATCACAGTGCCTCCGAGGACGACGCCGCGCGATGGACAAGAGTTCCCCCCATCAAGCGGAGCAATCTGTTGGACTCGCCGAAGAAGCAAGACCAGAAGAAAAATTCCGCCAAGGGCAAGCCCAGGCAGCCGAGGTCGAGAGTGGCCAACGTTGTCGGCGGTTCGGACTCCGACAGCGAAACGGAGGTGTCTGTAAGAACTAATCGCATCAAAGTCGCTAGGTAAATATTCTTCACAATTCCAACGCATTAGCTATCGATCTTTTGTGAACATTTGCAAGATTTTCTTTCTAAAAAAAAGGTGTTATAAATTGTACATTTATTTCCATTGAGGCGCGACCTTTTTAGAAAGAAAATCTTGCAAATGTCCACTTAATTTTTTCGTGTCTTGCTTTTGTTTCAACGAAGATATAAATAATTTTTGCAATAATAATAACGCAACACTTTCTGTTCTAAGATATGTTCATCAATATTTAAGATTTAAATTAATTTTCAAACTTCTTTCCTTTTTATTTTTCTACTTGCGTTTTTTTTTGGCACGACAACGAGACTAATAAATTAAATTATTGATCTAAGTATTATAAATATCAGAGTGCCACCCAGGCCGCGAGCACCACCAACGAGGACGACCTCGCCTGATAACTCTGATAGCGATAACAGCCCGGCGTCGAAACTGCAAGAGGACGACGCCGGCAACGTACAGGACAAGAAGAAAAGCGACACGCTGCGCCACGTCTTCTCTACGTCGAAGGGCGGCGGGAAGGGTGGTGGAAAAGGTGGAAAAGGTGGAAAAGGTGGTGGTAAATGCGGTATCTACGTGGAAGAGTACACGAGTAATTCTGCTACGCACACGCCGACCGGCGGGGACAGCCCATACAAAAGACCGTCCTCGCGGACGTCCAGTGGTGGAAACAATATTCTTCTGCGCTCGCCTCTAGCACTCACACACGTGAATGGCGTACCGAGTCTCGTGTGCAAGATCGATCTCGCCAGGATATCCTCGCAATTACTGCAACTATCGAGAGGGCAAGAGTTACGACAGCGTACGGAATTGCCCGACACCAGGCCGTCTTCGAGGCAGAGACCGTCCTCTAGCTTGGCGACTTCGCAACCACCGAGGCCGTCCACGCCAGAGGAGGGTGAGATCATAGACACGCCACCCCCGCAGCAGCAGGTCGTGTCAGATCGCGCGAGGATTCACCGTTCTGATGGACTGTTGGGCGAGGGTGACGGTAGGAGTTCACGTTCTGTGATCAAAGGCCAGCCGATATCGTCGGACTCGAAGAGCGGCGGTGTTATTCTCGGAGGTGTTGGAAGTGCTAGTGGTACCGGTGCGATCGGTAATGCACTCAAGAGGAAACGTAATCCGAGTTGCAGTTCCGTGTCCAGTTTGAGCCCTGTTCAGTGTTCGATGGACGCGAAAACGAAGAGTTCGTCCGAGCATAAGGACAGGAGCCGCAAAAGACAACGGAGGCATGTCACAAACGACGGATTAATGTCCAGTCAGGTATAAATCTAGGACAAAGTTAAGTACTCAATTGAAAAGTATTACAACTTACGTATTTAACTTTAAGCAGTTTTGAATGTAATTATCTTTCAACTTTTATTCATATAATTTTATACTTAATATGCTTTACTTCTTGATATTGTAATCGACGAGCGAAGAAATTGAGAAGAAAACGGTTATATAAGTAATTCTAAAAGTAGTTGTCATGTTTTATAGTTGTAATACTTTTATTACTTAATTTAATGGAAGCATGCTAATGTGTCAAGCATGCTGCCAATGTAACAATGCTAATTTTCTGGATAATATATTTTTTTTATAAAAAATATATTTAAAATAAAATTAAGTTGTTTATTTTCTAATTATGTATTGCAGTATAATGGAAAAACTTGTACATGTTATCTTTTAATATTCCACAGCAAAGTGATATTCAACCGACAAATCACGAGAGGGACGAGAAACAAGATACAAGTTTATTACCACCACCACCTCTTCCAGCTCAGCGCGTCTACTATTCTTACTTCGATCCTCAGAATGAAATATTAGAAGATCAGGATAGGTAAGCTGTTTGTTTACGCACGATGCTCAGGCTTTATCATAATCGATTTTGAATATAAACTAAGCTCAAATTAGATCTAGCATGATATAATAGTATTTTTATGCTTTTCCTCATGAACTAATTGATTTTTTTTATGTATGACAGCATATATTTATATTTCAGGGACCACGACCAGTACCTGACCGAAGCTAAGCGACTAAAGCACAATGCCGACGAGGAGAATGATCTTACGGCACAGGGCATGATGTATCTGGAGGCCGCTCTGTACTTCCTTCTAACGGGCGACGCGATGGAATCAGACCAAGTTACGGAAAAAGCCTCGTATACTATGTACAAAGATACTCTTAGTCTCATCAAGTAAGTACATTTCTAATTAAGACGCGTACGCGTATGATAAAAAAAATAGGAGAAAGCTTGCTAATTAAAGCGATTTTCTCTTTGTTCCGCAGATACATCTCGTCGAAATTCAAGAGCCAATCCAACAACTCACCCGAGAACAGTATACACACTAAGCTGGCCATCCTGAGGTGAGTGTACCTGGCTTCCTCTTTGAATCGTACAGCATTGCATAAGCGGACACGTCTCAAAATTGCGATTTGTCTTTATAGCCTTTGGTGCCAGTCACGCTTGTACTCCAAACTTTATAATATGCGCAAACAAGAGATGAAAGAGGTTCAGAAGATCGTCAACGATTTCAATCAAAAGGTGAATATTTTTTATTATCTGGATCATCTCATTTCACATTCAATACATTAATTACTTCAAACATATTACAATTTTTATTTTATTACAATTTAAATCTGCGCGTGAGTTATAATTGTTGAAAAAAATCATTTTAGCAATCACAGCAATCAGCAGCTCAGACAACGCCTGCTCAGGGGGAGGGACAAGGTACGCCTTCTCTTTCGCCTACACCGTCGCCCGCCGGTTCTGTAGGTTCCGTCGGTAGTCAAAGTTCCTCCGGATACAGCAGCGGTGGGCAACATCCGGCAACATCGGTCAATGGCCAATACATTAGCGTGCCTGTGCACGTCTACAATGCAATGATAAAGCAAAATCAGTATTCAGGTTTACTTATGAATGGCCATGACCTTTGGGAACAGGCAATAAAGCAGGCGAAACAGGAGGAGAATAGAAGTACGTAGAGAAATAAAGACTGAATCTAATGAATCTCGTTTCGCTTTTGTAATGGCTGTTTTTTCTCGTACTTTCAGGCTTTTTCATCGACTTGGATCGAAGATTGGGACCCCTGACATCGTATAGCTCGCTACGCGAGCTCGTGCGTTACGTTCAAGCGGGTATAAAGAAGTTACGAGCTCTCTGACCACAGTGGCACAGCCCCCGACCACCCACCCCAAACTACATTACTTCTCTTCCTCAAAACATAGTCACTTACCCGACCATGTACACGTAGTTGCGTAGCGTCGTTGCGTCAATCATTGTGACGTCAATCAACAACCCAGCGATGCAGGGAGACGTGAGAAACGGGAAGGTGCGATAGCGGTGATATAGCGAAATCATGGACTATTTTCTCTGCGAGAAGTGGTCTCGGGGGTGCGATCGAATCGATAACGAGGGTCACGGCAATGTAGAAAAAGGAGAGAAAAACGGGAGCAGCTCGTGAGCAGGTCTCCTTTAGTCGGACGACGTGGAGGCATTCTTGATATAAATTTAGCAGCAAGTTTATAGTCAATTGCAAAGCGCGTGCCTGAGGGGGCGAGGGGAAAAGGCGGCCGACCGAGGGAGGGGAGTCGCTTTATCTTACCACGGTGCATAAACGAACCTCGTGCACTTTGTTTAGAGCACGTGTTACTTACTCTCGAGGCGCAGGGGAGAATCGGCGGGGGGGGGGGGGGGGGATGATATCGAGACGCTCGCGTGCGACGATGCGAGTGCATTAGATTTCTAGCGAGCCGTGATAACTCGTGTCTATTTTTCCGAAGTGTCCGCTTTTGTAAGTTAACGCATAGATATCGACGCGAGTTCGAGAGGGAGGGGGGAGAATCGGAGGAAAATAGGAAAGAGGGGAATAAGTGAGGGAAAGATAATGACCGAAAAAGGAAAAAATGAGAAAAAAAAGTGAAAACCACTAAATGGGTAGTAAGTGCCACGTAAAAAGCGCCCGTGTGTTCTCGCTTCACGGTGCGCCCACAGCCGACGTTACCTGAAGCATGAGTATCGTTTCGGCGATTCAAGTGCGATGAATATAAGGGATATATACATATTTAATATATATATAGTTTATTACCTATATAAATATATATAAATAGTTATAAAGATAAGAATATATTTAATGACGCGAAGAGAGATAATGCATCTCGCGCGCCGGCGCCGCGTTTCAGTATAGGGGAACAGACGACAGTTGTATTCGCGAATAGGAGAAGAAATCGTGATAAAATGAGAAAGAGAAAGAGGAAGAGAGCGGACACAGGATTAGAGTGTTTTTCGGTGGAAAGATGCGCGAGCAACAGGATCAACAACCAGGATCAAGCGATGTGCTATAGTTAAACTATAGTCTAACGTTTGCGTGCGAAGCACACGACTCTTTTTTGTAGATAGATCACGGGGGAAGTAATTTAGATTAGAGTAATTAATATGCAAACAGGAAAAGCAGTAAACAGATGCGACTATACCAATACATATTATTTACATTATCTAGAGTTAAAACCGGGAGAAACAAGTAGAGGTTCTAGTGCGATTGAAAAGTAAAGAAGGAAAAAATAATGACATACCACATACACGCATATACCAATAGCATGATTTAATGAAACGCAAGCGAGGGAAGAACAAAGCGAAATAAAACGCATGCTAAAAGTGCGTGGTGAACGGTGTGACGGGCAAAATGTATTCGCGAATAATAAGTAACAAATACAGTATTCGAGATTGCTGATCGCGAATGAATTTCGCCCGTCTACCGGATGCCGAAGAGGTGAATATCCTCTTGCGCGCACGGCATGAGATGCTAACGATGGAAAACAATGAGAAAAAGAACAAGCGCAAGCGGATAAGCAAGTTGCTCATGTGTATATTTTTGTAAATAGATATTTGTGAGTGCCGCCGTCTTGAGGGCGGTCTACCGTTGTCGAGTTCGCGGTAGATCGGCCCGCCCCAATTTTTGCTACCACAGATCTTGTCCAGAATCGGGTAAGAGATTAACAAATAGGAAAAAAGAGGGATATGAGAATATGTAACGAATCAATACATAACGAAATGTCCGTTGAATTTAGTTCCGAAAGAAAAATATGCTCTCCGCGCTTTCTTTCTTTGAGAATGGCCCGTTCGTGCGTTCACGTTACTCTCTCAGACGAGTTTTTCGATCTGTCCCCGTTCTTACGATCGCTTCTCGATCATCGAATCGTGCCGAGAAAAATTCTGAACGCGTCACGGTAGCTTCGTTATTTCGAGTTTTACCAGTGATTTGATTCGCCTCATGTCTCAAACGCATCTCTTCCCCCGCATTCAATTAACGAATCGACAACGAGTGGATTGCAGCGGGAAAGTACGTACTCGGTAATCGTTCCGAGTTTCATTTTCTCGATAAAATGCCGAATTTGACGAAACAAACTTGCGAAATCCGAATTCACGAATCGAAGGGATTTTTATCAAATATAAGATCGAAACACGATCGCGTAGTTTTAATACATATCCGAAATCTAAACTTAATTCTCTCTTAAGTGATTAACGAACGTTACCCAGCCGAAGAATAACCGGCAATATTCCCCGAAACCGTAGGACCAATTATCATTCGTTTAATTTACAAAATCGCGTTGTTGTCTCGTTGCTGATGTGCTCTGTTAGCAACATCAGGAAAGATAACGAAGAGAAAACGCAGGCGGATTGGCGGGATCACGACGGCCCATAGTTACTAAGCGCGGTCCAATGGTTCACGGGATACAATTTTATATTTCGCGAGTGCTAAAGGATAAAGAGAAGAGACTAAAAGTTAAAAGTAAAAAAAAAAAAAAGAAAAAGAAGTCTATTAAGGAGCTTCAAGAATATTTTCGAGACACATTTATAGCAGATACATATATCAGGCCCATTTTCCCGCCAGGCCGACCGCTCTAAAAAAAAAAAGAAAAAGAAAAAAGAAAGAACGCAAATTTGACGAGACACTAAGTCGAAGTTCGGCATAATTTTCAAGAAAATGAAAAACGGTGGAATTGTTATTTACGAGCACATGCAAAGAATGTGTCTTTATGACGTGCGGAAAAGATTGTCGGTTTATGTTAGATAATTATTGGTTTTTAGATAGATTTTCCTTTTTATAACGTTCTTTTCGATGATTTCGGGCTGATGTATGTTCCTGTATGACTTCCAAAGATAAGCAAAGGGTGCTGTCGCTCCGTAGGGCGCCGCAGCGCGAATTTCGATCGGAAAGCATTCGCCACTTTCTGGTTCTTTTGTAGGTTCTTTACGTTTCCTTACGTTTCTTTTTCTTTTTCGCCTCCCTTCTCTCCATTTTATGTATCAATCAACGTGGTTGAATCGTGCGATGTTTTTGCTATTATTCTATTAAGCTATTATCAATATCATCGTTACTGTTATTGTTAACACTGATGATATTATTGGCGCTAGACGATAACAGTTACAATCGGTAATAATAATAATAATGATCGTAATAATAATTATAATAGGCATAGAATTAATAATGGTAACAGTAACGATGTGTTACTATTTTTCACTGCGTAATGATTATTACGTTACGAATAATATGCTGTTATCCTTTTTTTCGAGATATTTGAGTGAGAGAACGTATAAAGACGAGATGAAGTGATGCGTGGGAGGTGGAAAGCGGAGACGTGCGCGTCACACACACATACTGAAGAAATGTACATTATTTCTAACTTTCATCGCGAAGCTAAGCTGGGGTTTTTCGATCGGGCAGGACACGGTCGCGCAGAGACAGATATCGCCCTCGTATCTGTAAAGGACCTTAATAGAGAGAGCTTAATTAGCGCCGTTTGATTTTGGTCTTCTTAGCCCCCCCCCACACCCTCCCCCCTATCACACACCACACTCCTTGTAAAATATTTATACATATATATGTATATATACATACAACACACAGTACATTGCGTGTATATACATATACATACACATATATATATTAAAGAGACGAGAGGTATACACATACGCAATCTTAATTACGATTATATCATATATTATTACATTATTGATAATTATTACATTGATGATTATACGCGATAATTATTTTCCTATATTCGTATGGGACGTATTGTGTACTATCTAATTCTCCGAATACAAACGGACGTTTTACCGCTGCGAAACTTCCCTGTCCGTCGCGATTGTGCCAAAAAAAAAGAAGAGGGTGAAATATTGCGCGCGGCGCGAGTTCGCATCTTCGGATAGCCACGACATCGGTTGATTTTAAAGCAAGACCTCGCAGATTGACCGTATTATTCCTCGCATACTCTCATCAAAGTCCTCCGATAATGTTCTCTATAATAATAGGTGGAGTTCCTTTGATCGTCCTTTTTGTTCACGACGCTATTCTACGTGAAAGAGCTCGGTTTGAGACATCCCTGTCTGCGGAAACGGTTTTCACGGTCAGATAAACCATAAATGTAGAATAGTCGAGAAATTGCATATATAATTTTATGTTAATATATTATTTATTAATTATAATAAAATTATTAAATTATTAATGTAATTAAATATAATAAATTATTAATATAGTAACAAAAGCTAATACAATAAATTTAATAAATCATTGGATTTATTGTATTTAGCTTATTTAAAAGTTTAATTATATTAATATTTAATTACGTCATACGACATTGTAATTACGTGTTATTTATATTATATATATAACATTACGTTTTCTGTTAGCAATTACTGAAATTGTATTCTTGTATTCCGTTGCGATAAATTTTAAATCGTCGGGCCTTTCCTTTTTCTCTCTCTCTTATCCGGGACGTGGTCTGAAACCGAGCTCCTGCGAATAGAGCGAACCGACGACGACACGCGGCGATGGTTGCGGACGCTATTTCGCGGACGGACGAGCGGACAGGGTGGTTTAACGGCGGAGCGTATTCCGAAGTTGGCGAAGCAATCGTATGCTGTTGGTTGGTACCGGAGGCAATGCACAAGTAATCCGACTAATTGCGTCGACTAATGTGCGTTCGTAACGACGACGCGACGCGACACGTATACCACACGGACGCGACTCCGCGTACGACGGCGAGGGTAGAAAAACGTAAAAAAAAGGGGATCTCCCCATTACCGAGTTATCACTTATCAGCTCGCCGCAGGCGCTTCCAAACGCGTGCCCGTCACGCGGCCCGATCGACTATTGAAACGATACGGGAGTCGGATATTTTTTTAACGCGGTTACCTCTCTCTTTCTTTTTTGTTTTTGTCACGATATTTGCGACAAAACGCTTAGAGCGATCTACCCTCCCTTCGTGCGACGCGGAGTTTCGCCGAGCCGAGCAAGCAATATACGCGACAGACGGCCGTCTCTAATTGGCATTACGACCATGCGACGTACACGTGCTGAGATATATATGTATATATATACATATAGATATATATATATATATACACACACGAACACGCCACATTGACTAATTACACGTTCGCTGGACATACTTAACAAATCGTTTAGTGACAGGCAGACAGACAGATAGCCGGAAGGGTAGATAGAAAGCGAGAAGTAGGCAGAATTAATTAGAGAATTGAGAGAGACCAGGGGAGTGGAGTCGGAGGACACGTGAATGAGCAAACCGCACCAAGGAGAGACCAAATTATATCGCTTAATGAGATATAATTACCTATTTGCTTCGTATTTATTTTTATCGTTAATTAATTATTGTATTTATTGGCGCGGAGGCTGACACGCATACGCATAATTTCCGGGAGACACGTTAATTACACGAAAATTAATTACACACATACACGTACATACATACAAAATGTGCCCGGTCGAGTCATTGTCACTTAGATCATCCGAAGATTGCAAAACTTGATAGAGAAGTCTTTCAGTTGTCACCTAGAGTAGCTCCGACGCTTATTCTCGAGCGGAGAAAGAACGACTGAAGAGATATATTCGCGTGTAAAACATCCCCGACCGAATCTCTTCTACTTTCTTTCTACCTTTTTTTTTACGTACATATCGATTGGCATCGGGAAAAATTATCAAAATGCGTAAGAAACAAGGATTTATTGCTAAAAACGTATACTAAAATTTAATATGCAGTTGCAACAGTAATGCAACTGAAGAAATTTACGTTTTTCTACAAGTCGTGTTTGACGTAATTGTCGGAAACTCGTCATTTACTTGTCAAAATTTGGAGAAGCGCAATAGAATTTGATTTATTTCGATGCGAACTTTACTTATGCAATTTTTGGATCGCATTATAATATCGCGTTAATCATGTGAATAATAAAAAAAAATGCATCACATTTAATTATGCGAATCTCTCAAAAACTATCTTAGCGATATCGTCAACGATCAACGTTTTTCGGCCGTGCGCATTGTCCATCGTAAAAATGCAACTTCCTCGTTAATTGCGGATTATTTATTTAGTGCACGCAAACACGTACACACATCTTTCGACATGTAGCGGAGGGAAGGAAGTACAAAATTTACACATAGCGGACGCACGAAGTGACTTGTAATATTCCTTCGACAAATGTATCTCGTATAAAACGTTCCAGATGCCTCACCTTGTACACCAAGTAATCAATATAAAAAAAAAATGCAGAACTTTAATAATTACACTATTCCATCCCCTTTTATTACTCACGTTGCCAAAAGAAGCTCCGTGCAAATTGACATCGTAAATTAAAAAGAGACGAAAGGACAATCGCGTCGAGATAAGACGTTCTGCGTCGTGCTCTTCTTTCGTTTTCCTTTCGAGAGATCTCGCCAGTTTATAATTTTTCAGTCGATCGGACGCGAGCCAAGATAACGTCCTTCGGCTCGCGTCTTAATTTCGCTCTATGCGCGTCTGATCAGCTGATGTCTTTCGTCACTTTGCACGCATTTCGTTTTTCTTTTCGCTTCTTTCGCGAAACGCGCATTTCCTCGACGAATCGGTGCAGCTTTTGACTCTTACACCATACGCAAAAGAGAGGAAGACAAAATAATGATGAAAACGTATCACGTGAGACAACGGCGACAGGGGAGATAAAACGTGGGAAGAGAAAGACAATATATACATATACATATATATATCTATATATTTGCGAGATATTTTGTGAAACAGGGCTTTTTTACCTATTTTATAGTAATCTCAGCTTAAACGGATTGAGAGAGTGGGAGCGAGAGAGAGCGAGCGAGAGAGAAAGAGAGCGAGCCTTTACTAAAAATAATAAATTAATGTGAGACGAGGATGTTGTCATGAAATGACGTTGCAGTTGATGAGCGGTCTGTAAATGCGTACATACATAGCATAAATGCCGTCGTTTAATGGGGACGGTTTCACTATAACGTGTACCCTATATTTTTGTTTATGTTTTGCGCCTTAGATTTAGCATTATTACTATTATATTCTAATTATTATTAATTATTTTGATTATTATATATTATTATGTTTAAGATTCTTATTAATTATTATTATTATTATTATTATTATTATTATTATTATTATCATCATTGTGTATATGGTATAAATTGTAAAAAAAGGAACATATTTACTATATCATATTCATTTTACGGGGACACTTCCCCGAATGAACAAATTGTTTAAACTAAAATGAAGGAAGAAATAAAATATTGACCAAATTAAGGGGAGAGTTCTTTTCTGCCGACAACCTCATCCATCCTTCCATTATCCCGCACATTTGCAGATGTATGTATATATGATCACATAGTCTTACTCGTAATGTAAATGTAAGAAATAAATAATAAAGATATTTTTGGAATTGAAACGCTTGAAGTTATGATTTATTTCACTTTGTTCCTGATTATTCCTAATTATATTGCAATACTTTGTCAATTTTTCAGACTTGATTTTCACGATTTGAAAGCCCGAATTCTTAGAAATTCGAGAAATTCTTGGAAATGTAAAATATTCTTGATAATTGAGAAATTTCTTGGAAACTGACAAAATTCGTTATGTTGATAAAGTTGTACGTATATATACGTATAAATTTTTTGCTTATTAATAAAAATTATCTAAAATTTTTTCGACACATAGCTAGATAACAAATTGTCGATACGAAATTGTCGAAATTTTATGTTAATATATGTATATATAAGAAAATACAAAAAAAAGAACAGAAGCTGCAAATCAGATTTGTGACACGAATTTTAGTTTCTTAGCCTTTAGTGACATAAATTACAACATTATAATAGTCATGTTAAGAAAATTGTTACTTTATTGATAAATATATAGTATACAATACTACATTTTTTAATGTGTATTTAATGTGTATCGAGTTCGGCAACGGCTCCAGCATCCCCTTAAGTTTTTCTATGTGCCAAGGCCCTAAAACAGCCATTCTGCTTAGGCCCTTAGGATCACCTTTAAGACGTTGCCTATTTTCGGCCTGCCCCCTGAGAAAGTTGGACGTTAACCGTCCGTTTCGCTCGGTAACGGTACATGGGTTTGCGTCCGTGCTATGTCCACTTTCTCAGGTGCAGCATCAGGACGGGACATGACTTCCGGTGGCCGCTGTAACGCGATGTGAATTCTCCATTTACTTTTCCGCGTTGTGTGAAAATACAACGGCTACAGTTCTGTTCCACGTGACATTTCAGTATTTGGATGTTTAACAGAATTCAAAGTAATTGATTATACATTATTAAAAAAATATTTTAACAGCATATCATATAAGACAATTAATTAATTTAAGAAAAATATATAATATATAATTACTTATATATACATTAAGGGAGTAAAATGCGCTTTTTTTCGGGATTTTTTGACCAGAAACCAGTGAAAATTGTTAATGTCAGCTTTTTATGTATATATTTTATTATCTTTAGAAAACATAAAAAATATTCTTTAAAATTGAATTAATAATTAAACGTTATCGAATACATAATTTGCCAGCCTGGTGCGTGACCCTGGCGACGACATCTCCGACATCTCCAACATCTCGAACAAATATCCGCAACATCTCCAATTCTGTGAAGAAACACAATATTATTAGAAACTTACGTACGTTGTGCAAATATACAATTTTAAAAATATACAGAGTATTCATCCTAATGGTCCACACGATTTTTAAGATACTTTCAACGTTTAAAAAAAAAAAAAAAAAGATTGTAAGGTAAACATTCATCTGTTTCGTGTAAGCTACAACTGCAAATAAAAGAAAATTGGAAAACAAATTTTTTTTATATAAAAAATCATCATCTTGAATTTTTTAAATGGCACCATGCTCCTTTTCCTTCATGATATTGTAGGGGACTTTACACACTATCAGAAATGTGACTTCTATTGATATTTAATATCAAACAATTAATATCTAATTCAAAAGAAGGCTTAAAAAATACTAATATGATGTATTTATAAGGCGAACATTGTTCCCAGACAACTTTCAGTGTTTACATTTCTAGTCAGAGCTTATAAGTACTATAACTGCTACTGGTAAATCTCAAAGTATAACACCTTACAATTTTTTTCTTAACTGTCGAAAGGGTTTCAAATATCGTGGGGACCGTTACGATGGACACTGCATACAGTTTATAAAGTATAATTAGTTCTACTGTAAAATGTGTTATTAACGATAGTTTTCAACCTACCATCTTGATCCATATCTTTAGGGTCTGGTCTTGCTTCTTCTCCCTTTTGCGCTTGTTCACTGAAATAATTCAATGCAATTAGTACAAGTATATTAATCACAGTGGATTGTTCTACTCGAATAGAACGCCTGATGTTACTCACAGTAATTGCAATTGGCGCCAGCGTGCCTCACACATCATGGCATTATGCCCGGGTAACAGTGTGGCAACATGGCCCCACTGGTGTTCGCCATATTTCGCTACAGCCGCTTTTAATATGTCAAACTGAAAACAAAGAATTTTTTTTTATTTAACAGTTATACAAATACACATACACACGCACACAAGCTAGGTTAGAAAACATCACTTACATGTGTGTTGGTCCACATATATGACTGCATTTTGTATTTCTTCGTGCTGCTCCGTGAACGAAAATTATATTTTCAATGATGAAAAGCGCGAAACGCCCCTTGCTCCTTCTTCTTCTCAACCAACGAGAATAGAGAAACCTGAGAAACCAGAGAGCAGCCTCCTCCTCCTTCTTCTTCCTATTTTTATATTGGCTCCTGCCGTTTTTCAGCAGACAATACGAATACGGCCAGATTTGCTACTGTTTGTTTAACAGTCTGAATCACTGATTGCGTAGCGAAATCTGAGTAAAAATTACTGGAAGTCTGAGTGGAAATTGTAATTGCATCAGCAATCTTCCAAAATTTATTCAGGACAAAACACGTGTTCGAACACGTCCACGACTCAAGCGCGACTTTTACTGAGAGCGTCCATTCCTTTCTGAAGCCGGCGGAAGTCGCCACAGAGATATAAGAATAGAGTGCGCAAGCGAGCTGAAAAAGCGATAGAGGAATAGAAAGAGAACGCTGCATGTGGGCCCCTTCTATCTTTGCCTATGCGCGCATGTGCAGGTCATGGAAGATTGTGTATTTCGGTATTTTCGGTATTCTGTATGTCGTTTTGTAGCTAACTTTGTAAAGGCCATTGCACGTAACAAAGTTTTAGTCATAATTGTAAGGCCATAAGAAATCGACCTTTCAATTTTATTTGAATATAGTATCCCGAAAAGTATTTATTCGTATATTATAAATTTTCTGCTTAAATACAAATACAAGATATCGTATAAAATTCTGTCTATATATAAGTATTGCATATCGCATTTATGTTTAATATTGTGTTTTTCTATATTAGTTATATACAACAAACGTATAGGTACACGTAAATCTTTTGCTTATTAATAATAATTATGTAAAATTTTCGACACATAGATACCAAAATTATTATGTCGTATTTATTCTAATTAATAAATGTTATAAAATATTTAGAAAACTGGTTTAGGTGTGTCACTATTATTAATATTATACATTTTTATTTTGAAAAACTTGCGTACTGTACTAACTGCTCGTATTAAATAAAATGTGATATACGAAGGGAGGAGGTAATAGTCGGGTGATTTTGATGCATGTGTAAGAACAATAAAATTTTTCAGCAATACACGTTTACAAGAAATTTATGTGATTACAAGTGTCAATGTCCCTACAATAGTAGAAAATGTCACAATATATATAAATAATAGTAGCTTAACATCTTGTGTGACATGCAACTAATGAAGCATTTTGTTACCTTTTTTGCAAAAGTTAATATCTATAAAAAAAAAGCTTCAAGAGTAAATCGTACGAAAAGTTGATTTCTTAATTCCAAGCTAACATTTTCGGGATTTTACTGATTATTCCAGCTTTTTGTTTCTTTTCTGTATTATTTTTGATCATTTGGTTCTTAGGTCTGGGTGCAGATCGACCCGCTACTAATTCTAATATGAAGGCTATAGTGGCGCAAGTGTATCCTATTATGAGAAAATAAAAGCTGAACGCGAGCTGCTTCAGCAACATTACTTTGAAGTCTTTCATCTTCGCAATTTTCCTAGCTCTCTCACGTTTTACCTCCGCGATAAAGTCGGCTCGGGATTTAAGGATCAAGCCGGCCTGCATCATCTGTTGAATAATATCATTCACCCGTTGGTACAATGGCCAATTTTCGCGAGTGACATATGATTGTGTCATCTCAATCAGTTTTCTTGATCTAATAAGGTCTTGACCCTTGATCCTGTAGTAGAAGTGGTGACATTCCCCAAAGCACACAGCGGTCGTCGAATTCTCAACAAATTTCTTACACTCCTCATACGTGACCGACACGTAACGCGATTCCAATACAGGATCGTTTAACAACATTTTCAACTGTTGCGGTCCATATATGGTGTAACCGGATTTCTATAAAAAGACAACCAAAATAATTGACTTATCAAATATATTATTAATAAACCTGCACACATATGTTATATTAAACATACGTGATGCCGCGAATGTGTGTGTGCAGTGTGAGCATCAGTCGATTCCACTTCAAGACGAAGATAATTTATATTAGATTGCGAAAGAGATTTGTCATGTCTGTCAAATAAAGCTTAAAACAAAATTATAACGAAATAAAAGCGAAACTGATGCCACTGTTTTCAAAATTATTTTCTTTTTATTTAAAGGGGTAGTTAGTTAACCATCTATATTTAGAACATTCCATCTCAGCTTTATAGAAGAAAAGAGCTTTAAGTTAATTTTCCTAAATGGAGAAAGGGCGATTGTATTATAGAAGTTATAATAATATCTAATTTTCGTCAGCGTGTGTGCGAAAAGTGAGCGAAAGCGAGCGGCAAAATAAAGGTTTATTATATTACCCTGATACTTTCTATGCTGTCGATATCGCGATGATAAACCGGCACGGTGAGTAAGGCCGACAGGTGGCTTTGGAATAGAGCGTTTATGTTGAGGAACAGGATCAATATCATGCATATGAAGATCCTGGTGGAGCTAATTCTGGATGGATGTAGAATTCCTACGCAGACCATAAGTCGTATCACTTGTAACCCGGCTTTTACATAACCTTCGCTCTTCGTAAATACTATGTAAGTCAGCAGACACATTATCACCATTCCCACTATCACTTCTGACGACATGAACTTCATCAGCTTGGTGAACTGAGAAATTTCTCGGTTCGGTTGCGCTATCACACAGAGGGCTGCTCTTGAATGGGGATATGTGTATCTAAAAAATAACTACTTATTATTATTAAATATTATTTTATATTAATCTTTTATATTTAATACGATATGACGCGATATTTATTACATACGATATTTGTTACAAGGCTATGATGATATAATTTATTTCTATCGTCTCACACTTACTTGACTCTCCACAATATAAGCATGCTTCTCGTGTTCATGCCAATATCTATTCTGCCGTCGCTCAGAGGGGCCAGCAAACCTATCAGAGTACCGTTCGGTCCTATGCCGCCGAGCGCGTAGATACTGCCATTGTGAAGGTCGACGCTCAGAGATGCTCTCAGTTTGATCAAGAGTATCTTGATGATCTCGCTGTTATCGCCGCGAAATTTCTGCAGATCCGTCGCGCTCAAATTGACTTTTATAAACGGTTCCATCTCGACGGCGTTCAATCGGACCTCGTAGCCTTTCAAAGTGGCCGTTTTATCGAAATCCAGATTTTTGCATATTTTGTCTTTGTCTAAAAGAAAAAAAAACTACAGTAATTGCCGTACAAATTCTTCAAAAAAATGGCTAGTGTTTCGAAATGAGATAACACGGAATTTTACAAATAATATTATAAGCTTTTCTACTTTCGTACATTTATTGCTTATTATTAGCTTATAATTCGCCCTAAAGCTTGTTTGTTAATTTCTTAAATATATCTAATGGATTAAACGCGTGCTACGATAATTTTTTCTAATATAACTTTCAAATTTAATTAAAGTTTTAAATCATTATGCGATTTATATACTTGTAACATTCGCGCATAATTAATAATACATTTTTAGCCGTCAGCGTAACATTTCAAAGGGTTTTTCAATCATTTATGTAATATAAAGTAATGGAGTAGGCAAAAAAATTATATTTTACATTAACACTCAAAAATGAATTAGTTTATAATGTGTTCTATCAGACGGAAAGAAAATACCATGTTCATATTTTTTCTTCAATATTATCCAAGGATGGCCTTTCCGTCCTTTGAAGCGGTCTACTTCGACCCAATCGGTCGGCGTATTATTAGAATACGGATTATATGTGTAATAGACGATCCCATCGTCCGGATCGATGCACGGAAATATAACGGAGAGCAAGTCGAATTCCCAAGCTGTCCAGAGAAAAGAGTAAGCGTTTATACAGCCTCGATTCTCGGTCTTCTTGTCGACTATAATATAAAATCCGTCCGAATTCGCCCACGGTGAATCTTTTGTTTTCTGTTTAGGAATGACGAAATTGTTATTTGTATTTAACGAGGCTAATTAATATTATTATGAAAGAAGTATCGAGTTAAATTTTTCTTAAAGAACATTCTACTTTCGATAAGGAAATCTAAATTAGTCAAAAATTTAGATGGAACTAACACCTGCGGTTAGTTTTCAAGGCTTCGTAAAGCCTTGATAAAGGATGCAACTTCTACAATAATTTAAAATAGCGCATTCGCATTTAACTCTTACTTCAAATCGTCTATATATTATTTTTCACCTGCAAAATAGATCGCAGCAACGGTTGGGAGGATGCCACTAACACGAAGCGGTGCGATTTCCGAAGGAAATAGATAAACTTGTAGCTCACGTACATATGGTAAGAATATCTCGTCAGGGCGAACTTTTCGAGGGCGTTAAATCGAGGACTCGTTTCCCCTATTAAAGCTACCGGTACCCAAGCGAAAAAAGCTCGTCTGAGAAATTCACTATAATCTCCGCCTAGCAGTAAAGTTAGTTCAGGCTCTTTTGGTCGACAATGATATAGAATTCTTACCTACGAAAAATTAATGCAATATGATTTCTTTATAAGAAAGAAAGTTGCATAGAAAGTTTTTAAACGATCGCTTTTGTATCTTTAATAAAAGTAAAAAATGGCTTTGGTGAATTATTTTAAGATAATACAAAAATGTTATTCGTTATTATATATGCGCATAATATATGTATATTATATGAACAAAATCGCGTTTCTAAGTACTGGCACTTTATCTTACACACTTATTTCGGAAAAACTTACCGTTGCAGTGACTATGTCTGTGTAGGTAAGCTTCTCTTCCGCCGCAGTATCATTATTAATAAGACCGTGAGAAGACACATTTATCAATAGCGAGAAGAGAATATAAAGAGATACGTTCGACATGCTTTTAAAAATTTCACTATAAGACCGTTGATGTTCTAATGGGAAATGATCGAACGTTGGACCTGCCTTACAATATTGCTTTTCACGGGAATAAATTTCTTTTACTTTTATCAGCGTAATCGATGGATCACGCTCACAGATAAGCGCGTGCCACATTTTTATTTTCGTAATTGCGTTTTTACGCTCTCTCCATTTGGGTAGGAAAGATAACACAGGAATTTGACAAATTATTATTTCATAAGGACATTATAACGTCGAAAGGAATAATAGCTGCAGTAACATCGTTCTTCTTCGCCGTGAACACGATATGATACGATAAATGAATATGTCGGTGTTGCCTCGGTGTAATAAACGGCTTAACCGGCGACAATAGAGTTTAACGCGACGGAACGGACTGAAAGATATTTCACTTCGCTCGTTACGCGCTGTTTAATGTCTGTATTCATTGCACAACAATATAATCCGCATGCCCTTTTTGCGAGTTATTTCATTTTATTTTTACGTACTTTAATTTGTAAGTTAAAATAATACTCAAACCTCGGTAAAGATTTTTTATTGTTTGCACACAAGTTAATTTAATTTCAATTTCTCTCGCTCCTTTTTTCTTACAATTGGAAAGAAGTATGTATGATGGTCTCTATGACTACTTTATTTTTGCAAACTTATCCGAAGCTGTAAAGTATCTTTACATTTAATCATTTAATGTTACTGAATATTTTCAACGTCTCTAAAAAATTGTAATTTTATTGTAATACTTTTCTTGAAAATAGTTAAATAATTTTACCTTACTAAAATTCATCTTTCTCCTGCTTGAATAAATATTCCCTATTTTTATGTATCGGCTCGTGTATCGGTTTTCTGATTTTTCACGCTAATGTATTTGTCCCATTATTTTTCACAGTGATTGCGTGATGACAAGCGCGATTCATGCGCGTTTTCACGCTTTTAACTGTTTCTGATAAAGGAAGGTAATACAGCGTGACATATCGGTGGACGTTGTTACGTGTCTAAATACATATTAACGCTCTGAATTGCGGACACAGGGAAACAGCGATAATATCTTGTCAAAATAAATGGAAATATCATGCAATAGTGCCACGATGTTAAAAGCGAGGTATTATTATTGCGATAGAAGTACAAGTTATATAAGAAGATTGTAAAACATTCTTTTAGGAGCAAGAATTCTTGCGCTGGGGATACTTTTGCTTTTCTTATTTAAAAATATTTAAAATTAAATAGTAAATATTAAATATAAAAAATATTTTAAATATAAAATATATAAAATAATAAATATAAATAGTAAATATCAAATATTTAAAATAAAATAAAATTTAATTATTTTGTTGCGTTGCAAATAACGCGTTACAAATTATGCGAACAAAAGAATTGAATTGGCGAGTTCTGTCAGTTCACGAGTTCGGTTCAAAGAACTCGAGGTCATGTAGGGATCTTGATGTAACCGGAGACAAGTCGGCCGTCGAATCCGCAAATAATGCGAAACGCGGTATATCGTGCAGTATACCGGACAGTTTTAATTTGCAGACATAACGCGACCACTTAGCGCGTGGCGCGAGCGAATTGATGATCGGTTAAATGGCGAGGAGATCGTCGTGACGAATGACGAGATGAACGGAGATGATTCCTCAAGGTGGGAGGTTCCCCACTATTCGCATCCGGAAAAAGACGGCTCGGAACTCTCGGAAGAGAGCCGTGCGGAGAAGATAGTTTCGAGCGGCCAATCGCCGCACACGCGTCTGAGATCCGTTTCGCATTCTCGAGGAGGAATCGCGAACCGGTTCCACGGGAAACGCGACGCGTTCAAAAATAACAAAGTCTACAAAAATCTGGTCCGAAAGGAACGGGAACCATGCGTCGTCCATCGGAAATCGTGCAATGGACATCGTCCCTGATTCTGCTGTTTGCGGTCCACGCGACTGCGACGAAGCACCCGCATATTGTCTTTATTTTAGCGGACGATTTGGCAAGTTTCTTTCAAGGTTTGCGATAAATTATATCCGGCTACAGGACGCTTCAAAAATAATGCATTGTTAACAAAAACGGAATAAGGTGATAATTTCTATTTAGTGATCATTTGTCGCCGGTATCTTGGAAAGACGTAAAGAAATATGCCAGAAATGTTACACTTAAGATAAAGGTACCAATACCCGGACACTTAAGCATAGAAAACGTACCAATACCTGGACACGTATCTGTGTCTGGATACCTTTAAAAAAACATAAATTTATGAAAATAAACGTTTGGATATTATAACTTAAGTTTCAAACTACAAAAAAAAATACTTTTATCTTTGATTTTAATACGCGTTATACTTATAAATAATAAAGGTGTCCGGATATAGGTACATGTCCGGGTATTGGTACCTTTTACCTTAAATAAAGACTGAATAAAGAACCTCGCAATGACAGATTCGACATTATGCAAAGCCAAAAGTATCTACTTGATTATAGTTTATTTAAATATAGGACGAGTTTATCGGTGACGCATCAACGAAATGCGTTAGTAATAGTCCGTAATATTTTTCTTTTTATCGAAACGCAAACTCGCATATTCACATTTTTGTTGTATTACAAAGATTCTTTGGAATCAAATAAAGTATTTGTATGTAATGTGTCTCTTCTCCTTTACAAGATATTATAAATTTATCACGTTAAAAAGACAAATTATAGCATGGAAAAGTGTTAAATTAAGATTCAAAAGAATCATAAAAGGTATCTTAATAGAGTTACATTTAAATTTAGCCTAATTTTCATTAGGGATGGAACGACGTCGGCTTTCACGGTTCCGGTCAGATACCAACGCCGAATATCGACGCGCTGGCGTACTCCGGACTGCTTCTTGACAGATATTATGTCACCCCAATCTGTACACCGTCCAGAAGCGCTCTGATGACCGGCAAATATCCTATTCACACTGGAATGCAGCACGGCGTAAGTGGTGCTCTCGCAACGTCTCGATTGCTTCATTCTTTATCAGTTTAAACATGCAGTTTAAACGTGTGATATTGATAACAGATAGAAGAATCAAGCAAAAAAAAAATGAGAACAATAAACAATGAGTCCAAAGCAAACTTACCTTACAACGCGATAAAACTTGCTCGCTTAAAGCCTAAAGTCTTCTTTTTTAAATTTCATGAGTCGCTTATTAAAATCGCGGTAGTTCCCTAGTTTGTCAGTTTCTTTCAGCTGCTGTTGCACCTGTCAATGAATAAACGCGATTGAAAGTTATCAGCTGGCGGAAATGTTGTTGTTCTGCTTGCAGCACGCGGTACAAAAGGGGATATTGTGCGCTTGCACTTTTGCCTCGTTGACCTGGATAGTTCAATTGGAAATTATCATACCGAGCGATAGACGTTACTACTTTATTCGCATACACGTTTTCAGCGCTATACGCGCATATATCCGCACACAAAGCCGACAAAAGATCGCGCCAGTTCGATGCGTCGCTTTTATTATCGCGCAATTAATGACGTTGAGTGAATAATGCTTCTTTTACAATTTTTCTAATTCGTATTTTAAGATAACGGCGAAAATAGTTTCTAATTTTAACTTTCTAAAAATCTGGCGACATTTAAGATTAAACGCTCCTCGTAAATATATTAATGTAACTGACGTCAAGTTCGCCGAGAAACGGCATGTTATTATAAACGCAGGAATTTCTTGTACAATATTCGGACTTCTTGAATAATTCAGGTTCTCAAAGGTGCGGAGCCGAGAGGATTGCCACTCCACGAGAAACTCTTGCCGGAATATCTACGCGAACTTGGATACAGCACGCACATCGTCGGCAAATGGCACCTAGGATTTTACAAAAAGGAGTACACCCCGACTTACAGGGGATTCGACACCCACACTGGCTTCTGGACGGGTCATCACGATTATTTCGATCACACGGCCGTCGAAAACGTGAGCGACTACACAAATAAACAGGGTCTTGTATTATTTTATGTGATAACGTGGTAAAAATGCAGCCTTATTGGGGCTTGGACATGAGACGGGGCATGGAGCCGGCGTGGGACCTGCACGGCCAATATTCCACGGACATTTTCACGAAGGAAGCGACGGGATTGATCGACAAGCACAACACTAGTCGACCCATGTTCCTATATCTGGCTCACGCAGCCGTGCATTCCGGTAACCCTTATAATCCGCTTCCGGCGCCGGATGAGGAGGTCGCCAAGTTCAACAATATCTTCGATTACAATCGAAGACGTTTCGCAGGTAATCGATAAGTGAGACAGGGACATTCAAAGGGAGACAGAAATTAGAGTTATTAATATAAGATTAGATAGACCGTCGATTTTAAGGAGAAATAATTTATTATATAAATAAAATAAAATATAAATTCTTAAGAAATGAGATGAGACTGAAATATGTACTGATAGCATAAACAGACTGATAATCTTAGAATTCTACTATGTAGGTATGCTGAGTAAACTAGATCAATCGGTGGGCCAAGTAGTTGAAGCTCTGCATAAGAAAGATATGTTACGAGATAGCATAATTATCTTTTCGACGGACAACGGTGGACCTGCCGCTGGATTTAATTTGAATGCGGCGTCTAATTGGCCACTGAGAGGGGTTAAAAACACTCTTTGGGAAGGTAATTTCATTCGATTATTGATCAACTAAATTAGACAATTATGCAAATTTTTCAATAATTGAGAGGTCTCGATTGATGAGCAAGAGCACTTATCAACGCGGCAAGAAAATATCTTTAGAATTGTGTTCTCAACTATATACTTTTTATAATTGTATTTATAATTAGTATATCCATATTTTTAAGAACCTGAATTATTTATAAAACTAAGACTTTATTAGACGAATTAATATCTTCTAAAAATTTAATTTAAAAAAATCACGTTTTAGAAGCTGTTTTTTTTTTACGACATTCGTAAATGAACAATCTTTTCAATTATTGCAGGCGGCGTCAGAGGTGCAGGATTAATATGGTCACCCAAACTGGTGCGACCTGGCCGAGTAAGCAGGCAGATGTTACAGATTACCGATTGGCTGCCGACGCTTATAACAGCCGCCGGCGGTGATCCATCGAACTTAACTATCGACGGCATAGATTTATGGAATGCGCTTAGCGAAGATACTGAATCACCGCGCGCGAGCGTTCTTCACAACATCGATGACATTTACGGTACATCCGCTATCACAGTCGGTGACTGGAAGCTCATTCAAGGTAAGAGAGTTTCTAGGGACTAATAGTAACGTTCTACTCTATAACGATCTAAATTTTAAAACCGAGAGGTGTCTTTTTTATCAGTTCTCTTCTTATTATTTCCATGATAATTGCAGAACATAATAAATATATGATAATAAATATATATTGATTCAATTCTATTCGGTCTTTTATAGGATCTACTTATAACGGACAATGGGACGGATGGTACGGTCCATCCGGTAGGGAATGGGTCTACGACGTGGACAACGTGATCGGCAGCACGGCGGCGCACGCCGTCGCCAGTGTGGGATTGGGTATTACTACAGAAGCCGTTCGGATGCTGCGCGAAAACGCGATGATCAAGTGCCCGCCGCGGAATGACAGTCTGCCCGTCTGCAAACCGTTAGAGGAAGCATGCCTATTCAACGTCTATCAGGATCCTTGCGAGGACAATAATCTTGTTAGACAGTGAGTGGAATATAACTTCAATAAAATTTTATCGCATAATTTTATTTTATTTTAATTTGCGAGCGATTGTGATCGTAATTATATCATCTTATTTCTTTTTTTCGCGTCAAAAGGTTCCCAACGATCGTCAGGAAACTGCAGGACGAGCTGAAGAAGTTCAGCAGCAGCGCGCTTCTACCTGGAAATCTCCCGTGGGACAGTAAGGGCGATCCGAGTCTGTGGGATCATACTTGGAATAATTTCGGAGATTATATTAATGTTAGAGTGAACGCTGCAACCTGATCGGTTATTATTGTAATCTCAAGGATTTTATTTTCATTTTTCTGCAGAGTGATATATAATCCATATAAGGATTACACCAGAGAATGTGCTGCTCACGTTAGCTCATATTTGTTACATTACGAAGAAACCTATACTATAAAGATATTTAGTCTTTGTTTTTTATCTTCATTTATATGCATCGCCGATAAAAAAAAATGTACGTCATCGATAAAGTATAAAAATATCTAGCAACGTTAAATTAGAGATGGTATTTTATTTATAATGCGATTTATCGACCCTATATTTTATTGCTCAATTTTTTAATATAATTTTAGAAAAGAAGCGCACGTGTATATAAAGAACTTTATTACAAATAAATTGAAATTAAAAATTAAAATGGTGACTCCATTTTTTTACTCATTTCTTAATGTACTATCGAATAATGACAATACTTCCGTGTCATGCAAGATAGGATTCTTTGCGTGAACCATATTGCATTATCTTCCTAAACAAGTCTAATATCATCTATAGCCATAGCCATATCCATATCCATATCCATATTAGATTGTTCTAATTGATTCATCTCCATCACCTTGGCGCATCTGAAATCCGAAAGTGCTTTATAGTAAGTGTTATACAAGTTTTTCGGTATCATGAATTGCAAATGTGTCATTTTGTTGAATTTGTTATCGATAAAATTATCGCTACCAAGGAACAAGGAACCAAGGACCAAGGAAAAATAAATAAACTCAATGATTTCAATCCGCGCTACTGAGAGCTGTGAGAACTTGTTCTCCTCGTAATTGTTTTACCTGCAACGAGAGGAAACCCATTCGAGCCCAGTCGAGCAACTTTCTTCTTCTTTGTTGCAAATACACTTGCACGTTTCTTCATCCCAAACCATCTGGCGCGCTTCATCGCACTGTATTCTATTCAAGCATTCGCACGCGCAGTTATTTTCTGAATATATCTGATGGACGTTGCAATCACTTTCCTTCACGCTGCAGTGACATCTAAAAAATCATATTCTTTAAAAGCGAACGTAAGACGCTGTAAAAAATTGGTTTTGATAATTTTGTGCTTTGTGCGGTAAGCGTTTTCCTGGTTAAAAATGCTTCCCTTCTTTTCTAGTCTTTTTAGCCAAAAGTTCTGTCAAAAATTTAATTATAAAAATAAATATAAAGCTTTAATATGCTTGAAATTAAAGAAGTTTATTATAAATTAATTAAATATAATAATCTATCCCTCTAAATAGAATTAAAACTCCAATCTAGAAATTACGGATAATTTTAACAAACGATTAAAATGCAAAATTTTTGTACGCGTTATTTATGCGGTTATATTACGTTTCTTTTTATCGATTGTCAAATAATAAGCATTTGACTGAAGAAGCGCATAGTTAGAACGGGAGACTATCTTACTTGCACTTGGTATGCTCCTCGAGAAACACGTGATAACACTCGGTCGAGTTATAGCCGTACACTCTCACGGCGATCTTCTTGGGCTGCGTGCGGATTGGCATGCATGACTTACTTCCCGGACAGTAACCGCTGCATTTATTCACCAAGGCATAATTCGGATAAAAGGTGTAGCCCGGTTGCGGTATTAATTTTTCCATGGTAGGCCTTGGCACGCACATTACCTTTTTCATCTGTATACGAGTTCTCCCGCATTCTAAAAGTATAATTAAAGAATTCGTAAAAATTTATTCTGAAAGAATCAGCCACAAACCTGTATCCGATTGCTTAAACAAAGCTTCCTCTATGAGGAAGCAAAATTAATAAATGGATATAAAGCACTCTTGTGTGTATTTTACCGCTTTGATAATATTGCGCCGTTGCAGTAAGAAAGAGGTCAATGATTATCAATCTGTTTACAATAATGAATAAGTTCTGATAACTTTGTTAACTGATAACCACCTTTTCCTCTTAATAGGAAAAAAATACCTCTATACATTAATTAGTATTAATATAAAGATATTAGCTTAAGCAATTCGGCCTTGCCCGTCGAAGCATCCTGAAAACACATTTTACCCATTTTAAACACATTTTTCATATCAAATTTCTAAAAATCTCTTCTTAGTGAGTGCTTACGTCATGGAAGGAATATAATCCCCGAATTTCATGTTTCTAGATTTAGGAGTTTGGGGTGGGCGTTGATGAGTCAGTCAGTCAGTCAGGACATTTGTTTATATATATATATATATATATATATATATATATATATATATAAATTTTATATTTATATATAGATATATTATAAATATATATATAAAGATTGTATATTATTTCTAGTGCAATGGATACAACCAAGAATGATACTTCTTGTGAAAAGAACAATAAAATTAAAAGACATATATTTTATCAACTGTGTTGTGTAAGTTGTGTTCTTAAGAAAAATAATTTTATACACGAACTTATAATAACGCGCGTTTTATTTATGTAAGAGTCTGATATTGATCGGTGAGGAAGCAACAGACGCCATTCTTTAGAATAAAAAGTGTAAATCCATCTCAATTATGCATTACTGATATCGCGCGCAAGATTGTAATAAATAAAGCGTGTATAAATTATAAAAATGAAAAGTCTATAGATAACATAAAAGTGAAGGCAAGTTCTTTTGCATCAAATTTGACCAGTTGTAATATCGATTATGTGAAAACGTGTAACGTGCATATAAATAAAAAGTGTTCTACATTTTTTGTTTACAATAGATAAATGTTCTCACGAAATGTAGCATAATTTAATGGACATTTTATAATTCCTAAAAATGTAATTTTTAAAAGTATTGGCTATTCTAAAACTGTTATAAAATGCAATCACCGTTGATAGAAATAAATGTCACCTTTTGTATAAAAATAAATTAGTAAATTAGTAACAAGAAATTTCGAATTACCTGTCATCTCTGCCTTGTGTGGACGTAATTCATCGTACGACATGCCCTTGGTGATGCAAATACATACGGTCACTAAAGTACATACTGCTATAAGAAGTTTCATGATTAGCTTATAATACGCAGAACGCGAGTAAACTAGAATTGGTCGCAACGCGGCGTGTCATTAGATAATGAGCATAACGAAATTTCTCTCTCATTTATTTATAACGGCCGGAAGATGTAGTGGGAACGTGTGGTTTTAAAACTTCGGCCGCAAAACGTCTACTTTGGCAGACTGGGAAGGAAATTGCTACAGAAGGAGTACCGCAAATATCGCGCCTGATGTAACCGTTTCCGCGAATGTGAGGATAATGCATGATTTATTACAGCAATCTAAAAAATGCATGCGTTTGATAAACCAGTTTTCATTTAGTTTATCTTGTTCAGACATCAACATCGTACGAGGTTGAAGAGCACGAAACTAAAAATGCAATTTTATTATCTCTGCGTAATAAAACATTTCTTTTCGTTTTTCTATTTCGTTTTTAATCTATTTTCTAGTCTTTCTAGTTTTTCTTTTTATCTTTTCTCTTTGTTTCCTGCCAGAACATATATTTGCATTAAAAAAAGTGCAAAGATGACGCGTTTTAAAACTATATACCATAAAGTAAAACTTGACTTAAATTAATCAAAAGGGAATCACGAAATGCCATCACAAACTGCAAAGCAGTGAGATCCAGAGGATTTGTAAATAATATTTGATTTATTATTTAAACTATACATCATTATATTCCTTGGGCCACAATTGTTGATATACGTACAAAGTAAAAAAAAGGAAAGTATTAAAATTAGAAGTGGAATGCACTATACTGTCAGCTAGAACGTTAAGATAGGTCCTTCTCGGTGATCCAGAATATCTACAACAGAAATTATTACGGCTGAAGAAAATAAAATTGAAAGATTTATATCATATTTGGGTCAGAAAGATTTATATCATATACAAGATTTAAATTTAATTTAATTCCTCAGATTAACCGAAAAAGATTATAATAGCACAGCGTAATCAAAAAATTTTTAGATATTTTATTTGAATATTAAAAAATAAAAATATTAATATAATTTGATTTACCTTTGGCTATGCTCCACCATGGTAACGTAATGTACGTTAAAAAGGCGTTCAAAGGTACGGACTGCGCTCGCTTCGTCTCTTTCCAGAAATGGAAAGTTTGGGTGAACCCTCGCATCGTCCAGAGCGGATTATACGCCCCGTCATCCAACTCTGAAAGAAGAAAGACATTATTAATTACAATACTCGAATGCTTGCAGCATATCTGATGTCCTGCAACGGTTTGAGTCGTTCGATCGACGGGATGGTCGTATGCGTACAGGATAGACATTCATTCGAGCAATGAAACACAGAGTAAGATACAAGCTTAGAGTCGTGGGATTAAATGTATCTTTGATTAGGTTGTTAACGGACCAGTTGAGCAGATGAACAAGTTCGAGTGTGATATGATGTACAGATTATGCGGGGGGAAAAAAAACAGATATGTAAGAACAAACAGAGTAAGGAATATCAGGATACATCAATTTTCGTTTTTACTCTGAAAAATGTATAATGATAAAGTGCGTCCAAGTTTCTCAATGTATTACGTATATAGAAATGGCATTATGCAAAACACAGAGATAGGTCCGCATTCGCTGAAAATGAATTATATACAGTTTACTTTAAGAAGAATTAGTGCCTAGATGTACCCTCTTTTTATGAATTCTTATAGAGAGCGTGTATTGAAAAGTAGAAGTAATGTTACGCACAAAACGAACTAACCAACTATCTACCTATAATACTTTTGATGACCGTGCTTATTATCGGTGGTGAAATTAATGATCGAAAATCATTACGAGCATCCGACTAAAAGTCTCTTTCCAGACAGACGCTTCCGATCGTCGTTCTTTTGCCCGCAAATTGTTCGCAAACCACCACCATCACTACCACTCTCCGTCGTATCTCGTTGCCATTTCACCATCCCATAAACACAGTCATTTTAATGACACAGTCAAACGAATGCTTTGGGTTCAGGTAGCGCACGTCTACATTACGCACAACGATTTAATACAACAGAAATGATAATTAGTGGATTGATTCCGTCGAGGGCGGGGGACAGAGGGGTATTTTATGGGGGGAGGGCGCAGGAAGGGTAGGAGAAATTTACCCTGTGAGCCGGGGCGGCGCGGGAGCTCGCACCAGTAGTAGATTGCGGTGCCGTCCGGCGTGACTCGATGAGGGGGCAGGGGGTTACCCGCGAAGCTGCCCGAGAGCGCCCTTCGACGTCGTCTTCGGGGCAACGTGGCGCTCTGCCGACGCATCGACGCGACCTCGCCGTTGATGCGCGTCACGTGATGGGCGTTCGCGTTTTTGTCTCTGATCTCGTCGTTCTTGTTCTTGTTCTGCCCGTAGGCGTAGTCTTCGTGATCTGAACCGGCGCTACGTAGACGACGACGGCCGTCGGACCGTCTCACCCTGAGCAGCTCGTCGTCGCTGAGCCGCCGGCGCTCCTCGTCGTCGTTTTCTACACCGTTATGATGATTGAACAGATGCCCGGCGCTGTACGGACGTCGTTTCCGGTTATTGTCCTCCGTAGCGGTCGCCACGTCGTAGCCTAGCGGAAGTTCCTCCTTGCCGTGCACCAATATCGCGCCCGAGTCTAACTTCTGCCGGACGTTGTCGTCCGTCAGGCACCGGCCGGCCGGCACTAAGATCTCGCTGCCCACCTCTATGTGTTGGTGCTGGTGGTTCTGCTGATGATTGTTCTGCTGGTGATTGTGGAAACCTGCCGCGAGAACCACGTCGTCATTTAGACGGCGATTGCACCCGTGTCGCGACTACAAACGATCGTGCTCCCGGTCTCTTTTCACGCTTTGTCCTCCGTGCATTTATCTAAATTATTCTTTTACGTTACGGTGCAACTTGAAAATTTTATCGACTTTGGCTTTACTTCAATTGAGTAACGAAATGAATATATTTAAGAAAGCTTTTTTGCTCTCAGTTTATATTAACAACGTACATTCTTGTCAAAGCTCATCTCAAAGACACGGAACACGATGGCACTCGGTAATTCGGGAAGGAGACTAACACAGAGTTTCTACTAGTCACACAAGAAGCAAGAACGTCGGTCAAAGCAGAGACAGGAGAGACTGACCGGACTGATCGTTTTCAGCGCGAACGAGCACACTCACCGTGTGTCTCGCGATAGTTCGTCTCCTTGCGTATCGGCGAGTTCTCATTCGTTCCGGGTCGTTCCCGGGCATTACGTTGTCGTTGCTTGTTGTGGACGGGGTGTTGTTGTTGATGTTGTTGTTGTTGCCGAGCCGACGGCGATCTTCGTCGACGGAACGAGCGGGGACTCCTGCGGTTTCCCGGTGAGCCCCGGCCGCCCCAGCTGCTATCCTGTACATCGGCTACAAAGGAAAGAGCCGGCATGGCACGTGTCAGTGATTAGAGACAACAAAAAACAACAACTCTTTCGTTTGTTCGTTCATTAATTTTTTTTCTGTCATCTTTCGCAACAGACGCGACAACATTCGAATCGGAAGTTAGAGTGTGATAAATAGTTGTAGTGGTGGTAGTGATGGTGGTGGTTGTTGGTGGTGGTTGGTGGTGTCGGTGACGGTAGAACACTGAATCTGTTCTTTTCTCTTGTATTTCTATATCTTTCTCTCGCTATTTCGTCTATTCTTAACATTGTGCTAGTGCTACACTAAGTTTGCCTGAAAAATTCTGAATACTATCCGATCTTAGAGAGACAAGAAACGGGATATCGTTTCGAATAAAAGATTTTCTTACTACGGTGCATTAAGTTGCACCGTTTAACTGGTAAAGAGATAAATATCGGGCGCAAGTTACACTAGAAAAATCTTTTTCAACGTATACATGCGGTCGCTTCTATCTATCGCGTTCTAATGCAGTTATGATTCACATCTTTGCGAAAGTATTTAGATCTATCAGCTTCAAGTCTATATAGAGTCTGCCAGCATTGAGAAGTATTGCCGAGAGGTGGAGGCGTCTCTATGCCTGATAACATCAAGACAATTGTGCATTACACAGATACAACACAGGAGCATGCACAGACCGAGAGTGGATGCGAACGAAATACATTGAGAAGAGAAAGATACTAAATGCCATGTCCATATCCCATGTATTTAACGCTATGTTATACCGCAAATAAACGTCGTCTGAATTTTGCGGTCGGCTCGCGACGACGTTGTCCGTATTTAACGCTAAATGCAGGATATGAATGCCGGTCTAACAGTGTAAAACTATAAAAATCTAGTAGGAGAGTAGCAAAATCTGTCCTCGTCTTCGTTTGTACTGCCGTCGCTGATAATTACCATCTCGAACGTCACCGGCCTCGATCTCGCTGAGACCGTTCGCCATCGAGTCAAGACCCTCGTTCTCTGATCGCGCCTTAGTGGCCACCGTGTCCGGCTTCGTTCTCCAGCCGCCGCGTACGAAGTTGTTCAGATTCGCGCTGGGATCGGACAGCCTTCGTTGATGGCGATACATGAAGAGCTCCTCGGCGTCGTCCCAGTCAGCGTCCCATAGGTCGGTCGCGCAATAACCCGGCTCCGATGTCGGCGTCTCCGCACCGGAACCCTTCGGTTTTGTGACAGCCATCTCCGCGTGTCCCTTGCCTGAACGATTCCCGTGAAATTGAATTTTTATCGTAACTTATATCACATCGAACTTCTATACTTTACGCCTTGCCGTATCGATAAATATAGAAATTCTATTTTCCATCTTTTGCGCAAGCGATTACGTCATGTTAAATAATCAAGGTGAAACCCATTCTCGCGTTAACACCTACGTCTATGTTTTACGCTTAACTTTTAGATTATTTTAATAATGAGTTATTTTTTTCACTTATACTCTATTTTTTCACTTATATTCTATTATCCGTGACTTATCACGTATGAAATAAATTATTATTAAAATTATATAAATAAATTAAAGGAAGTTAATCTAAAGAAACAATATTGATGAAATTCTCGCACGTACCACGTGGTCCCTTCATTCGCACGAATTCTATTCTTTGCGAGGCCGCGCCGGAGAAGAGGCCGAACGTCATTCGCTGCGCCATTTTAGTGCTCAGGCTCGACTAAAAGTAAAAACGACTGTAATTTCACGTACATAAGTTTAAAAATGCGCTACGAAGGAACTTACCCTGGCGTCGTAAACTTTCTTCAAAGCGTCGTATCTGATCGAGCCGAGGAAAATGACGCCCTGAATCGCGCCCTCCCG